TGGCAAAATTCCTGTTGCCATTATTAGCACAGGATCATATCTCCAGTGATCAGCTAGATGGATGTAAAGGGACTTTAATTCTCAAACCAACAATTACGTTGATGGGAAGACTCCCCAGAAGATTAATTATTTCTCTTGCAGAATATGTTCTAGACATGTGTTGGATATAAATGCAGAGATAGCATAACTTCTCATTTTGTTAAAAACGAGTAGTCCCTGCGGCACCATAGAGACTAACAAAAATATATAGTATCATGAGCTTGTGTGGGCAAAACCCAATTCATAACTCATGATACTTTTAGTGAGTCTCTCAGTCTATGTTTAAACTACCAGGTTATTTCAAAATAATAACTCCTGAAATAACTATTTTGAAATAAGCTTATTCCTTTTCAAAATAGTGCGTCCACACCAAGTAGATGCTGAATTGCATTTAAGGCCGGCCGGAACCAGGTGCGGCTTTACTTTGTGTGGCTGCTGCCTGAGGCAATCTGAGGCCTGTGCTTAAAGGGCCCCCCCACCAAACAGCCAGTTCTCAGGTTTCCCTGCTTGCTTGCCTACGTCGATGAGGGACAGCAAAGCATTTTGTCTCTGCGTGCTCTAGTTGCCCTCATTCAGGACACCACAGCACTTTGTAACATGGAGCCAGAGCTGCCCCTGGGCACTCTGGTGCTTCTCGTGGATGCATTGCTGCGAGCCTGACTGCACTTTTTGCAGGCTGCCATCTGGGAGGTCCATCAAGAGGCTGTCAGTATCCAGGAGGCCCTGTGGGAGAGCTTCTACCCTGAGGATCACTAAGAGCCTCCCTGGTCTGTCCCACTGGGGGCTTGTGCCTCATTCCTCCCTCATGTCCTTCTACTTATCCCTCCCTAACTCCCTTTCCTGATGTCAAATAAAATACATGTATTTTCATGAACACAAACTCTCTTTATTTAACAAAACTGGGTGGGAGGAATAAAACTCTGGTGAAGTTGGGGAAAGGAGGTGGGAGATGGGAGCAGAGAGGATAGGAGAGGGGAGGGAGAAACCTGAGAGGAGGGAGCTGGAAGGGGGAAGCAAGGGGAAGAAGAGGGAGGGGAAGCTCAGGGTTGGGGATCTCGCCAGACCAACTTCATTTTCATGCAAACCTGCTCCTGGTTTTGCATGTGGCCTTTGGTGGCTAGGCTGGGAGCTATC